GACGCTGGATTTCTGAATTTTATTTACCAATATTTACGCCAGTTAAAAAGTCAAAACCTGAGGTGACTTTAAGTAAAAGATTGGCCTTCTTAGTTTTAAGTTTGCCATTTCATAGAATTTTCATGATTTTCTCCTTCAGGATAAATGCACATAACAAACCAACATCACATTTAATCCACAAATTTGGAGAAAGAAGAGGGAATAGAGACAGGGCCTTCGATGGCCCAAACCAGACTGACACGGTGCCAAACCCTAAGACATCCTCTCTTCCACATATTTTCTCATGTTTCTTGAACATCCATAGATGAAAGATTCGAACCTGAAACCCTTCGAAAGTAGAGAGACATGGGCAATTTAGAAAGTTGAAACATTTTCAACAAATTGGCAATACTAGAAGTGACGACTTATTGATATCATGGCTAGGAAGCAAGTCATTATCACCCTACAAAATTGCAGATATCAAACTTCAAATGTGAAATAAATATCAACAAAAAAGATGGTTAAAACTTAGAAGTTGAGACAGTATTACTTTGCAAAACTATAGAAGCATGCTTACAAGGCCCTATGAATCACGTGTTTGTAGCGAGCATATACAAAGGCAGACCTTACTGGCACTCTCTGTACCCCCATGTGTGCAGCACATGGAACGACAAGATATATCTTACAAAGTGGAGGAATTTCTGGACTTCTGCATTTTATCATCCTGAGAGGGAGGAGGTAATGAAGGAGATGAGAATGCTGCATGGTAAGAAGAGGAAGCAAGTTGCGCCAGCGCTGGAACAGCACCTCCTGCAGCAATTCCAATTTTTAAGAGTCTCAAAAGGCACTGTAACCCAAAACTAACAGAAGCCATAGCAAGTTACTGTTTTCAACCCTTTGGACCCAGGTCCATCCAGTTTAATCCTATAGTATTGATATATACCAAATAGTAAGCCAAGATAAATAAAAAACTACCATGCATTCCATTGACAAAATGCCTGGTCAGAACAATGAGACATGATCAAAGTACATGTGCTCAAGCAGCCTAGCAACATGTGCACTGTCGCAAAGCAACGAGAAAAATTTTACTTTTACCGAGAGAACAGCTCCAAGACTAGCTATTGCAACTGGATCCCAAGAAAATGGAGCCAAGGCCTCCAATTTCCATGGAAATTAAGCCCCGCTGCTATCGAGTACAGAATAATAGGAACCATGGTTCCATATTTATGGCTTTTACTGAAGAGAACAGGAGAGTAAGTTGAAATTTGAAACATGTATTAACCTGCTATCAACATGCAGGCCACCAGCCAACCATGTTTTGTTCTCTTGCAGATCGACTGCTACCACAAAAGACAGAGCCTCAGCCTCTAATTGCTAATCGCTATAGGTCTCTAGTGATAAAGTTAGAGAATATGCAAGAAAATTCTAAGGAACAGAGTCCTAGAAGTCCCCTTCCTCTTTCACCCCTTTGAAAGTCATCATAAATCCTATAGCAGTCACAGGATATTTCTCATAGCCATGGCCAGTGACAGAAGAAGCCCCATTCAGTTTCACGGATATAAAATACCAATGTTCATTATGACATTCCTGTAATTGGATGCCAGTAAAATCATGAATCAACCACAAGAAACTTTAAGGAAAGTATTGCTGACCTGCCAATCCTGCACAAGCTGAAGAGAATACTATTACAGGTGGTGCCTGCATGCGCACAAAGATTTTGATCAGTAAGCAGTAAAAACTGTCCGACAAAATTATATTGGACAAGGAACACAGTTTTAAAGATGTTTCAGCATACATGAAAAACATACTGAAGCGATTGCGCACTCTAAGAACCATGAAGTTAGACAGGGGTTCCGTGCTGAATATACATATAGAGAGCCTAAGGGAGACCCTTTTATATTTCCGGAAGTGCTTTCAAGGTTTAAGAGTCAAAGCATAACCAAATTGCTGCAAGACACGATTGCTTGAGTGGTCCTATGGATAAGTGGCAATTTGATTGATAAGACCTTTTCAATTGTAGCCAACAACTTATTACGAACAATTCCGACATCCTAGAAAGATTATTCAATATACCAGGTCAAATGCTCCCTGTCACATTCATGCAAGACCAAAAATAGCCAGTACAAGTGGATCTGAAATGAAGATGAAAGGAGGGAGCAGTGCCTTGAGTATAGTGAATATTTTATCTGCATTCTTGAGACAAAGCATATGCTTATTCTCAAGGATTTTTTTGCTTACAGCTACTAGGCTTTAGCCTCATGGAATGAAATGCAAATTGAGTTCATCAAAACATTCTTCATCAATTGGTAGAGTAACTATGAAAAGAACAGTCGGTACCACTTTATTTAGTTCACAAAAATTCCATTCAATGTTTTCTTTCTTTCTTTTTTTTTCCTCTTTTTTTGGCATCAAGACTTTAGTTACATCAACTAAATTTTGCATTCTGCAATTTCAATATTATATTTCCTTAAGTTAGTTAAGTTAGAAGATCTAACAAAGCCTTTATGTTATTGAAAATAAATCATATCTTGTACTATATCTGCATAATTATGCCTTAGATTTATATACAGCATAAGTTTCTCAGTTAAAACGTTGTCAATATTTTATCTAATTTGTAATTAACAAATTCAAAATTTGACAAACAGATGAAACCATTAAATGCATTTTGGAAACTTACACCAATAAAAAAATGCAGCCACATTGGTCCTTTCACCCATCTCCGGACTATTGGCATCACTGCATTGACAGATATATTCATCAAAAGGGGAGGAAAAGTGAACAACTCCCAATGGTTGCATAATTTTATTAACAAAAGAAATTCCTCACGTTCCAATCCAGGAAGTGAGGAAATAGAAGAACAACTACCATAATGGAAAAATGGTACATAATTACATACAATGCAGGTGATAGGTGAAGAAAATATAACAAACAGCTTTGTAAGGTTTATGCACATATTTGTGCAAGATGTGTGCACCAATCACATTTTTATTTGGTCAGATAATAGAAAAGAATTGTGAAACGTCTATAATCTCAAATGGTATAAAGAAAAGCAATTTTCAAATAAACTACAATCTGCAGACTAAAGTTCAAACAATTAAAGGCTTCTACTGAAGCAATTTGGAGCTCTCTTGCTCTCTCAAAGCTGGCCTTTCTACCCGCATGATGACTCAGGATATAAAAACGGATCACAGTATTCATGAAAAGAATATAATGAATGCAGATTGGCAGCAGGCAAGGTAGATGCTAAATTGCAACTTGCAGGTCCTTTGCTTTCCAGCATTCAGTGGCAAGCATAGTCTATCTAGTGTGAAGGTCACTTCCGGAATCACCTTTGTATCATTGACTTGCGGTGTTTTCTAGATGGAAAACATGAACTTGCTGAGTTCAGCAACATGAATACTCCATTGCTGAGTTTGACAATGGTTTTGTGGGTAATGATGATGCTACTCCACTAATGGTGAAATAAATGTTTTTGGATATTAGCTAAAGTGAAGTGCTGGTATAAATTCATGGAGAGCCATTCTCAATTCCCTGGTTTTGTTTTCTTTCTACCTTTTATTTCTCTCCCTCCTTTTCTTCTTATGTTACTCCTTTTCAACATTATTTTGCTGATGGACAACTTGGTATTGAACAGAGTGGGGAAAAAGAAGAAGCAAAAAATGTGTGCAAAGGACAAAATAAAGCCAATGAGCCATATAACAGCTAAACACCGTCTACAGAATAAATTTAATTATAAATGCAGAAAGATGGTTAGATAATATCAAGTATCAACTTAATCAAATCAACAACAGACAATAAAGAGTGCAAGCAACAGAAACCCATACCATGGTTGAATCCATAGAATGCACTTGTTGTACCACCAACAGCAGACCCAATCTAAACAAAAACAACAACAAAAAAATATAAGCCCCAACCTCCAAAGTTTAGAAGAAACTCCTGTGGCATAAACTCAATAACAGTTAGTGCACGACAAGCAATCCCTTCAAATACATGAAAGTTGAAACTAGTGATTGGTTAACAATCCCATACCCCAATTGACCTCAGAAAACCAATCAAACTTTCAAAATTCAAGAAGAGAACAGTCAACATGTGACATAAAGCAACCTCATTTATACAAATAAACCTAAAGTACTACTTCATGTACTTCTATATTCTACTCGCATTCTAATCCTAGACACACCACCCACGAGTCCAATAATATCGCAACCTCAACCATGGATTTCACTCGTGGAGTGCAGGGTAGGCACTACAAATAGAAGGATCATCTTATTACATGCTCTCCTAAACAGTACCACTTGCACACTGCCCACAGTTACTTAAAATTTGAAGACAACAGGAAAAATCGTATACCATGGAAAAGCTATCTCTGATTAGAGGTCGAACAGTCCACTCGCTAGTTTCCTGCAATCAGAAAATTTTCAAAAAGCAAAAATTTAATTAATATTTTAAATTTCATGATATCAATGACTAATGCAATGAAAGATAGATTCGAAATAATTCATTATGCAATATTGAGCTGTGGAAGGAGGTACCATCTCTTTCGAAAGAGGGCCTGCACAATGATGGCATCGCAAACTACTTTGAGGATTTAACTTTGATTCTTCCATTGATAATCTTTACGTAAAACCACCAAATTTAAAGGGTTTGTCTTCCAATCTGCCACAGTTAAGCACACAACAACCTCAACATACACAACCAAAGTACAACAATCCCTCACACCAACCGAAAATACCAATCACCCCAAAACTTTTTTCCTCTTTTGGAGCTAAAAAATTATGAATTTCCAAAATTACTTAAGTGGGGATTTTTTAAATGCGCAGAAAGACCTTTCAAAACTCAAAATTGCGATACTCTGTTTACAAACTTAGAAACAAGTGTTAGGCTAAAACCCTCCAAAAGTAGCAAACTTTACCATAATATTAGACAAAATTTAACCATCTCCACATACATTAAACGACATGACATTCATGAGAAACTGAATATGATAATTATCAATGAAACAGAAGAATAAACCAATAATCATGAACCCCACAAAGAGAGAGGGAGGAGTTGAAACAAATATCGATTTGGACAGTGGAAAGAGAGCTTTGCTTTACCTCTTGGGATCGATTTGGACGCTAGCGAGAGAGAGAGAGCAGTTCTTTCGGCTGCGAGAGAGACCGCTTCACGCAGAAAGAAGACCGGCTCGAATACAACGTAGGAAGGAAGAACTGGTTTTAATTTGGTTATTTGTTTAGTAATTTTAACTGAGAAATAATAAATATATAATTATTTGTTACTTTTAACATTTTTTTTAGAAAAACTAAAAAATAGCCCCCAACTATGTACATAGTCTTAATTTTGCCTCCAAAACAATTATTGTATCAATTTTGTCTCCCAAGTTTCATAAATTTTCATTCATATTCATCTAAATTGTAGCTTTATATGGAAAAAACAATGTCATTTTTAGAATTTAATCTTTTTATTAAGAAATAAAGAATCTTTTTTCTCTTTTTAGTTGAAACTTTAGGCGGTTCTCCAAAAAAGATAATAGAAGAAATTATTTCTACCAGTGATTATGATTTACAATTATAGCTACCATAGTTATTTATTTAGATATTTTTGGATTAAAAAAAAAAAACAAGAATCAAAACGACAATTTATATCAAGATATCCTTAGAAATTTCTAATTAGAAAATCCATATTGTTTTGAGAAAAATTGATAAAATTATTTGAAGGTAAATTTGATACCATCCCAATAATTGGGATTATATATTTGGATTTGTCCAAGATTTTTCTAGACCAGGGATAATGTGAATAACATGTTATTGTTTTTTAAAAAAAAACAGCCATTCAAATCAAGAAATCCCTAAAAATATCTAATTAAATATTCCAAATTGCTCTAAGACAAAATTGATAGAAAGAGACATTTGTAGGTAAATTTGACACCATCCCCAATAATGAGGGTATATACTGAGCTTGCCCAAGATTTCCCAGAACCGCTATCATGTGAATAACATGTGATTTTTTTTCTTTTTTACTTTTAAGAAATATATTGATATATTCGATAACCTCTAGAGATAATATTAAAATTTATATATATTTTTGGTTAATATTACAGCAAAAATGGATGAAGAGAGGAATTGAAATTACAACGAATTTTATCAAAACCATTGATGCAAAGTGTATTTTTGAGGTAAAAATCATAAGTGAAGCTAATTTCTATTTCTTATTTAGAAAACAAAGATCCCAAATTACAAATGGCTTTCCCTTCTTTTTGCACCCAGAGACATGAATGGGGTGATGGGAGGAAAGAACCTGGCAACTAAGCCTCACAAAGAAGGCACTCTTATTCCTTTTTTACACATGATCCGCTGAAATTTTTACACAGAAAGCTAAAAACCTGAACATGCACAACGAAAGACACAAAAAAGGTACAACCTTGTATCTACAAAGACGCAACTAACTAGAAGCAAGTCTACTGACTCTACCCAATGTTAGTCATGTTGCAACAAATGCAACCCTGAAACTACTGAGCATTTCCTTCAGCGAGGCTGGTGAATGTGCAGTGCCGTGCGCTTGCCGGTAACGCGATGCGGTGGCTTCATCTGGAACTTCGTAGGGGTCCTTGGAGATCTGGGATTTCTGTCGTTGGGAGGAGATTTTGGCACGTTTAGTTCCTTGAGCAAAGCTTTCACATCCACTAGGAGACCTGTGTTTTACGAAAAATTATCACTCTTCCTGAATGCCATTGCATATTTACACAGAAGATGATGATCTATAGCTCAAGAAAAATAGCAAATGAATCTTCAATCGCTGTTTAGACATTGATGAAGTTGAACTACCAACTGAAAAATCGATTAAAGTATGAAGTTCAATCTCCTGATTCACCATATCATACTTACTGTAGCTAAAAAAAAAACTGAAATGCCATTGCTATGCACCCAAGATGTTATCAAACCTTTCCTTTTTGAAATCCAATCCAATAAACACAAAAGCAAGAAACTTTGCAATGTCTCATCCTAATCCAATCCAAATCTGATAAAAAAAAAAAAAAAAAAAAAGGAGGGCATAACCATCAGATGTATTACCATTTAGAGGCTTCCTTTCATGATCGGTAGCACTGAAGTCAGTTTTCTCTTCAGCTTCAGCCAACATGACCATCTCCTCAAACTGAGCTTCCAAATTAGGAAACTCCTCTTCAACAAAAACATCCAAATCCTCCGGAAGCAAATCCTTAAGATCATCATCAGCACCAGCACTACCATCAAAACTCCCCTCCGGATGTTGACTCAGCCAAAAGTCCCGGAACCAAGTCGAACTTTTCACAAGTTCCCACCATTTCGGCGAGAAATCCTCCACTTGTCGATACACATTAGGAATAAAGAGAGGTGCATTAGGATTCAATGTAGATCTTCCAGAAACCAAAGTAGCCATTTTCGCCACTTTTCACCAGTCAATCCGATCACAACACTAGTTTATTTTCCTGAAACAACAATCAAGATCTTTATTAGCGAATCTAACCAATAATCACATAAAAACCAATATTTAATCAAATCTAACCATCCTTCTACCCGAAAAACAAATGATCAACAATCAAGAACCATGGAACCCAGAGAACTAAAACAACCTCACAGATCATCACAAATCACAAAACAAAAGAAACCTAGAAACACAACAACAAAAATCACAAAAACAACAACAAAAAACCAAACCCCATAAAAAAAATTCCATCAATATCATCACAAAACAATAAAGCAACGAACTTCAAAGCTTTCATCAAAAAAAAAAAAAAAAAAAAAAAAAAAGATACCTACATTAGCAAAACACTCAGATCATGATCATTGCTTTACCTTTCAATAAAAAATGAACTTGAATTTGTCCTGAGGCACCGGGAAAGGCTTACTGACAGAGAATACAGTAGAAGTTATTGCTGTTAATGGATAAAGCTAAAATCTTGGCAAGGCGACAGATATATAGTCCAAGCCTGGTTGATTTGGTTTCCGAACCTAAGGTTTGGGTTTTTAAAGCAGGAACCGCCGGCAACTCGGTGAGTAAAATGGCCACATGGTGGGTGATTAGGGGTGTGGGTGTGGATAACGGATGACGACTAGATCTTTCCTTTGGGGAACAAGATCAACGGTTGACAGTGACTGGTGGGCATCGGACAGTAAATTTGAGGTCATTGAGGAGATATTTTCGTTTTCTTTATTGCTTTTTAATTTGAAGTTTATCGCGTAAAGGTCGGTGGATAAGGCCATATATATATATATATATATATATATATATTCAACAATTCATGAAAATCACTTTCTGTTTTTGTACTATTTAATTTTGAAAAATTTAATCCCTCTGCTAAGTTACAATGTCAGTCAGATTTTATACTTCTCAGAGTTGAAACCAACTAATTTTGCGAACTGATTTTTCTTCTTTTTTTTCATTAATTACATGTCATTATATAATTAATCAGACATTATTTTCTCTGTTAATTTTCAAAAATAGAAAAATTAACAGAAGAAATAAGATCTGAACTTCGTGTCATTATATGATTAATTAGACATTATTTCTTCTATTAACCACGTATGACTATATAATGAAAAAAATTAAAAATAAACTTTAAATAATATAGAATTTGATTTGCTCCCAAAGATTAAAATAACAAAAACCAGAGAGTACGGACACGAAGTGATTTTCATCTTTTCAACAATGGAGTACGAATCTTAAATACAGTGTGAAGAAAAGACTGCAAAATGAGTTTGACATGACCCTTAATCATATCATAACTTTGCAGTCAAGCAATCCAATGAACAATCGGTGAGGCCATTTCTTATTCCAAGCTCAATCATCTAAAGAGTTTTTCGAACTTCTCCATTATTTGGAGATGCGGCCATAAAATGTGTTAGAGATGTATTTTGCTGAAGTCTTCGTAGGCTTGCAAGATGAGGTGGTCATCTTCCCATTCATCACGGTATGACCTCGACTTGAGACGCTTGTTCTTGATAAATTCAAGGCACATCTGTAGTCTCCATTCTTCAAAGACTGGACATTGACACTGAGAAGCAAGCCATTTGTTGTAATCAATCTGTAAAAATAACCACCCAGATTAAAAGAGAGCACAGTAACAAATGCATGTGGGAAATGGTTGGTTTTAGCATGTATCATATTTAAAGTAAGCTCCAAATGTGGTCTTTGAACTTGGAGATGCGCTGAGAATGCACCATAAAATTAGATTATCTAAACTCGAGAGCAAAATGCAAATCTGAATTCAGGAGTTTGTACAGAAAGAATGGAGGAGGATGAGGAATTGCATTCAGCAGTCACCGAGTTTGAAACTTAGGCTACTGTTGAGAAAAGTTACAGGGCAGGCAAAAAACACAAACAAGTTCGGTTGGAAATGAACTGAAGGGGCGAGCAATGGTGGGAGGGATTGCTGAAACCAAATCAACGGAGTAAAAAAAGAATTCCACATTGAAGACTCAGATAATTACCCTCGCCAAGGAAAAAAGGGATCTCTGTTAATTTATCATCAACAACACATTGAAGAATGACAGCCAACTTTTTACCAATACAAGGCCCTTAGAGAAACCCCTGCTCAGTAAATGAACTTCAATTTTTGAAGCACGTGTCATACAAAAGGGCTCTGAAAGAAGAATAAATTTCCAGAAAAACTTACAACATAATGAAGTAGGTCATGAGTGTGATGTTTAGGTATATGAGAAGCTTCGAGTGTTGAGTAGAAGGCACTGACATCTTCCATCATCTCTTCTTGTGAAGGAAGCAGAATTCGACCAGACAAAACACCAGCAATCCACTTACTTTGAGCCTCAAACGTTGGGAAAGATAAAGTCTAGCACCAAAATGCAAAGGATTACTATCACAATAAAAGCTAATGTCCACTCAAAACAAGGATGGATATCATTACAGAGCTCAACCTTAGAGGGTATCCCAACAAAGGAAAGCCATGGAGCCAAAAAGGGAGGAAAAACATGCTTGTACAGAGGCCCCACACGATTGTCATCCACAGTCACAATGCCATTGGTCTTGAGAAAAGGGAAGTGATATTTGTATCTTCAAAACAAGAAGATATCGCAAATGTACATTATCATTCATGCTTGCCTAGCATTGCCTAAATGTTTAATTCGGCATAAATCTATATGTACAGAACAGTCTGTTCCAAAAAGACACAAAATTGAAGCTAGGAGATAATTACCCAGTGCAGTACAGTATAATGTCAGCAAGGACAGTACAGCCATCTTTGAAAACCACAGTACCATCTTCACAGGCACTTTCCATCTGCATTATTTAGGGAAGAGAAAAACATATTTTAGATCAAGCCATCTCACAGCACAAACAACAACTCCATCCAAAAAATCTCGCAAGATAGCCATCTCCCACCACTGTCAACCGAGGTTAATGCTTTTACCATAGAATGAAGCCACATGGTATCATATCCAGGCCGCTTTTCGTGTTTATCATTCGTGACCGATCTAGATGCAATATGGACCTCTTTGGCAACCCCAACAAGTTCGATGGATAAATCTTCAGTGCTTAATGAATCACCTATCAAAATTATGACCTGGGAATTAAGGAAAATTGTTTAACAAAAGAAAGTATTATTGCATTACAAAGGATAACAGAATTATGAGTTGTACCATGAAAAGGTGTCAAGCATACACAAAACCACACAAACAGGGACATGCAAGCACACAAATCATAATAAACGCAAAAGAAATAATCTCCTCTGGGACCTTGCTTGTAAAAAATGAATATGAGACAATTCTGTTTAAATCTTTTTCAAGCTCAAAGTAGAAAAAACTTTGCAATCTTAGGAAAACCAGCATTACAAAGGATAACAGAATTATGAGTTGTACCATGAAAAGGTGTCAAGCATACACAAAACCACACAAACAGGGACATGCAAGCACACAAATCATAATAAACGCAAAAGAAATAATCTCCTCTGGGACCTTGCCCGTAAAAAATGAATATGACACAATTCTGTTTAAATCTTTTTCAAGCTCAAAGTACTTCAAAAAACTTTGCAATCTTAGGAAAACCCATCAATTACTTTGACTTGGTTGGAGATAACAAATCTGGTTTTAGTCCCTGACTCAAATGTGGAGAATTACACCACAAGTTACTAATTCTGTTTAGCCAATCCATGGAAACAATCATACCCTGCAATTTTCAAACAGAAAGTGGAGACTAAATCACTCCAAAACTTCTAGTTGTCTGTACAATACACCCTCAGGTATATCTCAAGAGCATTGGTGAAGGTGAAACATTCAATGATAGAAATGCACAGAAATAATTTGAAAAAAAATAAAAAAATACATGTTCTACAACACATGGTCACACATCAATTCTCGATATAGGCTACACCTACATAAACCAAATACAGCAAACTCCCAGAATTATGTTGCAGTACTTCCAACTGCTTTACCTTCGTGAATCAATTGCTCAACCTCAACAATTCAAGCATCCATTACACGGATGGTGCACCAACCATTTGGAAGTACACAAATACTTTTTCCCAAAGTTTCATATAAAGAAATTTCCTTCTACCAATTTGTTTATGACTGTATGTTTTATAGAGAACTCTTGTACCTTACAGTAATGCAAGGCCCTTCTTCTCTTAGCTTGCAAGCAGTGTATTTATGTAAACCATTTTTCAGTAGAAAATATTGAGCAAGACACACAGAATCCAACCAGTTTTTTTTAAAGCACAATAATGTTGAGCCATTCAACAATGTAAGTAAATAAGAACCTCAAACATACTTGATCCCTATAGGGTTCAGGGGTACGATAGTTGTGGCTATGTATATGCTTCCCAGGCCACAAATCGATCCCTGAAAAAAGAGAATTAGCAGGAACAAATAAGAAGACAGTCGTTTAACCAAAAACAACACCCTTATAAAATATTTTAGAGGAGGCCTTATAGACACCATCATATTTAACATTGGAATAGCATGAAGAAGAAATCCACACATCACCAGCCTTCATAACAGAACAAACGCACCCTACCAGTATTTGTCCGGTTGAGACATTTATGGCAAGGCCTCCAAACAAGGAAGAACAAGAAGAAGATGGGACTAAAATTAAGTGCAGTGACAAAATAAAGTATCAGGTACTAAAACAACAACAACAGCTATTAAATACCTGGAATTTCAGCAATACGAGGTTGTGTGTAATGTCCACTACAAATAACAACAGCATCAAAAATCTCATCAAGAAAATCATGATGATGACCATCGCTATTACAAAGTCTCTCCCTTTTGGACTTGACTTCCCATTTCCCGTCATCAATCATCTCCACACTGACCACTTCACACTCAAACCTCACCATCTCTTCAATCCCAAACTCCTTTGCAAAATCTTGCAGATACATCAAAACTTCTCTGTGACCTGGAAATCTTCTAGGGTCTCTCTCTTCACCATCTCGGATCGCAAATGGGTAGTCCATAAAACCCATCGTCTCCCTGGGCAGATTCGTCCTGAGAGACTCGTAGAGACTGGTGTGGACAATTTTCCGGGTTGGGTCTAGTCCTATGGGGTCGGACTCAACCTGGGCAGTATACAACCATGTACCACCAAGTTGGTCACCTTTCTCAAAGACCACCACTTGATGCCCGTCCCGGCGTAACTCTCTGGCCGCCACAAGACCGGCGGCCCCGGCTCCGATCACAGCCACGTGATAGGATCTGAGAGGATGGTTTGATGCTTGCATCTTTGAAGGCCATTTTAGGAAGCCGAGAAAAGATTTTATTTTCTATACTTGGTGGATTGTTAATGAATAAAGAATTCATTCATGAAGAACCCAAGAAGACAAAACAAAAAAACTAATGAATTAAAAATTCATTCATGGAGATCCTAAGAAGACCAAAAAGAAAACTGTAGCTAGTTGCCTAGTACTGCAAGCTTTAGCTGAGAACCAAACTAACTTTGCAAGAGAGAAGTCTCTAACACTAGTTTTTTCACAGCTAAATCGAAGCTGTGAAAATCTCTTAAAACCCTTTTATCAATGGATCCTTTTCTCTCCTGCTTTATGCCCTTTTTTATTCTGAAAGGAAAAGCCCGAACCTTGAGGTACAAGAAGCACAGCACCGGTTCCTACCTATTCATTTCCTCCGGGCTAATTAGTTTTAAATTACCTTTAATTATTGGTCAACAAAAACAAAAAGTCTCTATTTTTTATTTAGGTCTAGATTTTTTTTTTTTTTTTTATCCGAAGTTAACTTCCTCCGTTTCGTTTTCAGGCCATAAAAGAGACCCGTGAATCATTAAAATAATAATATGTGATTTGACAACAAAAAGTCTCTATTCTTTATTTTTTTATTTAGGTCTAGAATTTTTTTTTATCGGAATTTAACTTGGTTGGTTCATTTCATTTTGTTGATTAATTTTAGATTTGTCTCAGTGACATGTTAATTATTAAAATAATAATATATGTTTTAAAAACTCTAAACACAAGATACCAATCGTTATTTTTAATATATTAATAGTTTAGATATTTTATAACAAATTATCATCATTATTCATTATAATCATTCATCGAAAATTGAACTATCATATTATGTGATGTAAAAAATAAAAATGTAACATATAATTATCATTATATTACATGATGTTTTAGATAATTTACCCTTTGTGTTTTAATATTCTATATTTATAAATTTCTCTTATCCTTAGTATTCATTAGAGGTAATTTTTCTATACGCATCTCAATCCACAATTCGCATATTATTTCACGAGTAATTTTATAATACATTAGGAGTAACTAATTGTATGTATAATAGTTACTCTATAGGTTCATTTTGAAAAGAGAGATGGACAAAAAAAAAAAAAACAAGTGAGAGAAAATAAAAAAATTTGAACGAACATAAAAATCTTTTTATCACTTTTGATAGGTATGAATGTAATTTTACTATTTTTTGTATGTCTATCTCTGTCCTCAAAGTGAACTCATAGAGTAACTATTATACATGCCATTAATTACTTCAGATGTATTATAAAATTTCTCCTATTTCACACTTGTCCATTTTGTTAAATTTATGATTTTAGAGAAAGATTAGTATTTTCTTCTTCTTCCTCTTCTTTCCCATTGAATGTCTTCCTCTCATGTTTATAGCCACAAGGATCCATAAGTAAGTTTTATGAACGAACACATGAATTTGGGATTGTAAAAGAGCAATCAAAATAGCAAGGGTTGTTTTAATGTTTTCTTGTCGTAAAGATGGAAAAGATGAAACTAGACAAATTAAAGAGCATTAATACTTATATATTTCATTGCTTCAATCTCCTTTTACATGTAACTAGAGAGTTTTCTCCTGATACAACTTGAGCTACCAATATTTATTTTAGTCTTATGAGCAGCTCAAGAAGCCATAACTTTGCATACATATGCTCGATCTCCTCATGGAACTGTGTAACCTAACATGGATAAAAAATAAAATAAAATAAAAGACAATAAGAAATACAGAAGTTAGCAATGACTTCATAGACATGAAAGGAAAAGAAAGAAGACTAAACTGTAAAATACCTTCCTTGAATTTAAGTGGAAAAACAAATATTCTTCAATCTAAAAAAATCCGAGATTTGATCTTCTAAACAATACGATTTTTTGAATCTATCATTTACATTAGGATTCATATGAAAAATTAATGAAAAAAAATCCGTAAAAATCTTATTTTCTCTGTTAGTAAACATGTTTTTTTCCTAAACTAACAGAGAAAATGATAGAAATTGAAAAGATTGGATTTTTACGGGTTTTTTTGGTCAATTTCTCAACAAAACTCTAATAAAATGGACAAGTTCAAAAAATCACATATTGTTTAAGATATAAAATCAGATTTTTTCTTAATTATATCATAAAAGTATTTGTTTTTTCGTTCAAATTGAAAGGAATATTCTACACTTTAGTGAAGAAAAATAGAAAGTAATACTACGCACTACTTACTTCCACATTTCATGCCATGGGCAAGTGGTTTGCCACAAAAGTCAGCAAGGTGAGCCACTTTTCCCATGTCAATGACAGCCTCAATCTCCCCAGTAATGTATTTGCAGGCACATGGGATATCCACAGACTTGATCGCACTGCAACATTCTTGCGAGGGATCCATTTGTTGCCCTACTTTTTGAACGTACCTTGCACATTGAGTTATGAGACCTTGCAAGTCACCTTGGCATCCTTGACCATGGACTACGTTGTCACCGGAAATCAGTATTCCCGTCATGGCAAAAACAGCCAGGACCATCGTAAAGTTGACGTTCAAGATTGCCATCATCTCTTGATTTTGTACCTCTCTGGTTCTGTGTGTTTCTGAGTGTGAGCATTGCGGGATTGGCGTAGCTGGTTTATATAGAAACTTTGAGGGAGGGAGGGGGAGGGGGTTAGGTTCATCAGTTTCTTGATTTGCATGAATTTTGTGACTTTGTTTGGTCCGATATGGGCAGATATTATACGTTACTCTCTTCATTTGGGAATCTTGAAATGATTTGCATGTGAAACACTTCCGTTTGTCTATTGGATTCAAGGAAAATTGAAGGATTTTGCTTGTTTGTTCTGGGTGCTGCTTGTGGCGGGAGAGCAGGCGTTATTTTGAAACTCAGCAGTTTTCATTTTTCTTATGAACGAAAACGTTTAATTGATACAAAAAGAACAAAGAAGCTACCTAATTTTAGATGAAAAGTGAGTATTATATTTGCAACATAGCTTTCAGCTGCAATTTCCGTTTAATAATCTGACTAATCCGAGCAATCAATTTTGCTGGAGTATAGGTGTTGCTCCACGAGCTCTTTTGTTTCTTTCCTTCCATTGGTAGTGAGTTTTTTACACTAGCAAGAAATCAAGTGTATTTGAGTTTACAAAAAAAATCATTACAAGAAGAACTAAAATAATTTTTTTTATCTTTTTATAATTATGGTCAATTTAATTTTTCGTTGCAATACAACTTCCTCTCTTATCCTTCGTAGCTCTTTAATTTTATAACAGTGGTTAATTCAATTCATCATCGTAATACAATTTCTTTTTTTATTCTATTAACTATTAACGTGAATCTCTTAAAATCTAACAACTGACGTAAAATGCATAGTGTATATATAGCTCTAGTAGATCACGTTTAAAATTGAGAGTTATGAACAAATTAAGTAATGCCTAAACAAGATTACTTTCTTTAAGATTTTGGGCATAAATTTAATGCTTGCGTTGGATTACTTTTCATGCTATATTTGTGTATAAAGGGTCAAATTTTTCAGATTTTTTGCTTTTATCTATCAGGAAATTAAGTGGAAAAAGTTGATCCACGAAATCTGTTGTTAACTATTAAAATTATTTTGTCTATCGAAACTAATTCTTTTTTTTTTTCACTCAATTTTTGATAAATAATCGCTATTCCACTGGTACATTTTAAAATAATTTTTCTCTTATAACATTTTCCCCAGATTAGAACTCATGATAATTATATGGAAATGAAGCAAACTGATTTACAACTTCAGCCGATTTCCCAAAAATCAACTGTTTTGAAATTGGAATTTAGATTATCTGATTATTCTCAAGTTTACACGCAATGAGGCAAAGCCAAAATCAAGGCTCAAAACGACCCAATCACTCGATCAAATTACTCCATTCACAAGCCAAAATCATGCTCGGTCCACACATGTCAAAAGGGCTTCCATCAATTTTATCAAGTCATAATTTTCTTGTTAGAAATTCGAAAAGGTAATTAAACATGGATGGAGCAAGCAAATAGTACTTGATATTTCATTAATGCTTTGATTTACTTTGATGGGCAATAAGATTTCTTTTTTCTCATTACTTAATTATTCATTACATCAACTTGAGCTGCCAGTATTTGTTCTAGTCCAGTAATTAGTAGCTCATAGTCACAACTTTGAGATTACAGCTCTGTGATCACTTTCATGGAACGGTGAAACCTGCAATAAATCATGAAAAATAATAGTTAGCAACTGCAATACAATCGTAATGAAGAATCCAATTCAGATAAATAAATGGTTAAAAAGGTTAAACTTCTCCTAATTAAATTTAAATCTATTTAAAAATCAGTTTCTAAACTTTTAATTTGTATTTTTATCTTCCTAAACTTTATATATATATATATATATATATATATATATATATAGATTTAGTCTATTATTTAGTTTTCTATCATTTATCCCAAAACATAAAAATTATATAAATAATTTCATGATGAAAATTATTCAATGAGATTTATCTGGATCTTCTAAAAAAATTGGAATCATTTTGGGTTTTTTTTTTTTTGGTGTTTATAAAATAAAAAAACATAAATTCTGACCTTGAAAAATTCTAAAAAATTTTTTAAAAAAATTGATTGGATTTTTTTTTCAATGTGACTGCAAAACTTAAAATCAAAATAACAAGAATTGATTTTTTTTTTTTTTAAAAAAAAGGAAGGGTACAGCTGAAAATTATAAGATATACTAATATTTTTTTTTAAAAAAAAGTTTGGAGAAGTTAAAATACAAATTAAAAGTTTAGGGACTCATTGTCAAATGAACTAAAATTCAAAAAAGGTCTGGCCCTTTTAACCTAAATAAATAAATATTATTAATAATCAGAGAAAGATCTAAATAGACTTTTATCCATATGATTCCGATTTTCGTGCTAAATTTTCGTGTGAAAAGAGGGATACTTACTTCCACATTTGGTGCCATGGGGAAGTGGTAAGCCACAAGATTCAGTAACATGAGCCACTTTTGCCATGTCAAGAATGGCTTCAATATCCTTAGTGATGTATTTGCACACACAGGGGACATCAACAGTCTTGATTGCATTGCAACACTGTGGAGATGGGTCTGTCTGTGGCCCTAATCTTTGAACATAGTTAAGACATTGCGTTATTAAACCTTGCAAGTCGCCATGGCATTCTTGGCCAAGGGCGACATTGTTGCTGGAAATTAGAATTCCAGTCACTGCAAAGGTAGCCAAGATCATGAAATGGAGATTCAAGGTTGCCATATCTTTTCCTCACTCCCTCTCTCTCTCTCTCTCTCTCTCTCTCTCTGATGCTGGCGGCGATCGTGGTGGTTTATGGTTGTGATCAAGGTGGTGAGCATGGCTGCAGGTTTATGTATAGGGGTTTTGAGGGAGGGTGTGTTCATGCATGCCTCAAATTGGCCCATAATTTGGCAGATAACATGCGTTGCTGTGAAAATGTTTAGCATGTGAAACACTTTAAGATTCAAACGGTTTTGATGGATTCAAATGACAAATGGTGTGAATCCATGCGTTACCGTTTTTTTTTTTTTTTTTTTTTAAATAGCTCAATTTTTCGTCTTCTATATCTCTCTAAATTTTTAATGCATTCTATCTGTTTTAAAATTTTTTTTGAAATATTCAATCTATTTTTTATTAATTTTTTTCATTATGGATGATTTTCTTGACAAAGTACATGACATGCATGTTCTTTACTAAAATGAAAAAATAAAATAATTAAACCCATATGACATATATATTTTATTTTTAAAAATTTTAGAATAATTTTTTTTCATTTCACTCAAGAGTATTTCGATCAAAATATTTTTTTTAATTGAAATGATAAATTGAATATTTTAAAAAATATTCTAAAATCAACCCTCTCATATTAAGATTAAGTTTCTTTCTTATTGATTCTTCGATAGTCATTGTTAGAGCATATATTCCATGTTAAATAATTAAACTAAAGATGATCTATATATAAGGTTAAGAAAAAATCATCCATAATAAGATTTAAGTCTTTTGGATTGAACTTAATATCAAATATCTAACTGTATAGTTATTTATGACATTTATACACGTGCATTCACATAAAAATAATTTTTATGGTTTTTTATAGAACGATAATAATTTCATGTATTGCAAAAAGGTAATGTTAAATTCATCATTCAAATTATTATTTCTATCATTTTTTTAATATATAATTATCAATACATCATTTATCAATTACCAATAACTATTATATAATATATATTAATGAAAGGTTAATTGGTAATTCTCTGAAAAAAAAAAGGGGATGAGAATAACAAATTGGTTAATGAATTTAGCAATTACCCATTGCAAAAAAATTTAATATTTAAGGCCCATAAAAGGCCCGATTAAAAGAATGGCCCAAATAAGGTCCAGCCCATACTACACCAATTTCAAATCCCTCAGCCTCACGAACCTGGCGCGTTTTCTCTCTCCCTCTCACGCTAAATCAATCGCAAATCCCCAAAGCAAATCAAAACCCTAAAAATCCAATCACCCAAAATGCAGAACCAAAAAAGGGTACTCTGCCCTGAAAATGAAGACCTTGCATCTTACATGCTACAAAAGAGGCAAGAATTGGCACAAAGCCCTAAAGGGTTATCAGAGAACTTGGACAAGACTATTTCCAAGGCTTATAATAGTGTCTGTTGTTCAACGACTCCTATCAAGACCCTCAAAGATTTCTCTCAAATTAAGTATGTTTTGTTGTTTTGGATTGAATTTATGATTTTTTTTGCGTTAAGATTGCGTCTTTTGGGGAAAGTTGTTAGTTTTTTGGGTTGTAGGGCACATTTATGTTGGTGGACACTTGATACCTTTTGAAAATATAGTGAGAATTATGTATTTGCATATAATTAGGCGCAGAAATCTGAAAAAAGGGGAATTGGCCTTTTGAGTTTAGTTAACTTGTCTCTCTTCGTGGATACGTTGAAAAAATTTTCTTATTTTGATTGTGAAGATGCATTTCTTGTGTTTGGTTTTATGGGAGAAATGGGTTAGAGAAAAAATGGAGTAGAGATGGGGATGATATCTGCAAACGCTTTGAGGTGAATGCAGCCTAGTTCTCTAGGAGAATTCGGTGAAATTGAGGGTGAGCATGTGTTTGTGTATGTGTTCTGCTCTTGGTGATCATATTTTCTCAAGATTTTGTTCTCTGAGAAAGGTTTTTTATGCTTACTTGCAATTACATGACTGTAAATCAATTTGTGTGCTTTTTTCTTGTAATTTGAATTAATGGAAAATTTAAGTTTTGTGGAATAATTTGGTGGTGTATTCTGTATAGGGGTGTAGGTAAATGGATTGTGAGGCTAATGCAAGGGTTTTTTGATAACGGTTCAGGAAGTTCTGAACCAGAAGACTTGACCAAAAAGGGTATGTATGATCACGTTCATGCCATGTTGTTTATCTATCAATTTACTTGGGTCATTTATTTTCATTGCCCTGATTAGATATATCCATTTAGTTGTTTAGGTAAGAGAGCACAAGTGGCAAAACGTTATCTGCCACAAAGGAATTCTGTGGCATATGCATTGCTGATTACCCTGTACAGGTAAGCAGTTATCACTCCCTTATTACATTTCTTTATTATTATTATTTTTTAATGTTTTTGAATTTTGATTTGAATATATTGTTGTTAGGGAGACTGTAAATGGTAAAGAATTTATGCGTAAACAGGAGCTAATTGATGCTGCTGAAGTGAGCGGACTTTCTCAGGCGCCGATTCTGTATGTTTTTATTATTATGCATTTGGATATGTTTATCATCTTTAAGATCATTTTTGAAGCTCATTGATGGATTTAGTGTTCGGTTTATGCTTCCTTTCTTAGGCCAGAGAAGGGGAAAGGGAAACCTTCACAATTTGGAAGTTCTCGAAGTGAGTGGTACAGTGGATGGAGTTGCATGACGAAATTGATAAACAAAGGATTAGTTGTTAAATCAAGTTGCCCTGCCAAGTATGGCTTTCTTTTTGTATCTTCTATTCATCCTTTACATGTATGGTCTATAATTTGTTGGGCCAAGTACGATGGGCTTGTAACCAAGCAGGAAATTAAGGTGGTTGGTTTGGATTGACTTAACTAGGTGGTTGTGATGGCCAAGGTTTTTCCACAATTAAGCATGTGCTCTCTGTTGGCATGCCTCTCGATTCATTCTGGTCAGCAACCCCCATCTAGCATGATTGGAAGGAAAACAAAAATATAACCTATTTTATGCTTTATTGCTGGTGTTAAGTTGTTTAGATGTGATGTGATGGGTAATATTGGTAATGATCGGTTATTTCTAGACAATTATATGTGGACTTTGAACTCTATGCCTTTGCTGCAACAATCTCTCTCAGAAAAATGATTGCACATTAGGAATGGATTTATCCATCTTCCATAGACTTATGTAAGATACAAAAATACTAGGTTTAAAAATAGAAGATACGAAAACACTATTTTTGGAATGATATGAAAAAACTCAAAAATTTGTGTTTTTAATTGTTTGAGTGGAATCTTTTGCACATCTTCAGTGGCACTTGGTTCATGAGTTCATGAATGGATTTAAGGTTAGGACTTGAGAAGAAAGAGTCAATATGAATTTATTGGTGAAATAATTCTCATAGTGGCCTAATTAGCAGACATTGATTAATCATGCTTGGTGTGCATGCTAGTGAATTTCTTAAAAAGTAAACATTTGATCCTTGGATCAAAGTCATGGTTGCTAATCTGGTTCAATTAGTTAATGCTCCATACTTCTCACTGCGTTATTGATGCTTTGAACATAAATGGACGAGCCTCTGTTACTTTCAGATACATGCTGACTGATGAAGGTCGGGAAACAGCACGTGAATGCCTCATGAGATCTCGCATGGAGGATCCCGGTGAGAGTTTGGCTAATTTAGAGGGCTCTTCTGATCTGAACATGCTGAATACATCAGATATGGAGTCTGTTTGCCCTGATTCAGCTAGGGAAGCAACATTTACATCCATTGGCTTAAGTAGGCAGAAGAAATCAATTGATGTTCCCCTTGAATCTCTTGAGAGGGTGTGCTTTCTTTTCTTGCAAATCTTATTTAGTTCCGTATTACTGAATGTCGAAACCTCAATGCTTGAGCCTTCTTGAAAATTTTCTGCTCTTAGCTTGCACATTTATCTCTGACAAACATTTCAATAAGAAAATTCCTCATTTTTCCCTGTCCACAGATGCAATTTGTTTATTTGCAGTATCTCTGATCATAGTGTCATTTCCCCGACAACTGGAAGTGATTTGTGGGGTCACTTTTTGAAACGTTACTTTTGCTGTTAGTGTTCATTGCATGATCTTTAGGGGGATGCTAAGCAATTTCTTTTGTTCTGATTCGGATTTCCCATTCTGTAGTTTATGCGCATGGGGTATTCCAAAGAAAAAGTTATTCATGCTTTTTCTAAAGTGTCAGAAACCTCCCATTACAAGGAGATTTCGTCACTTTGGCCAGCGGTTCTGTGTCGCCTTCGAGAAGATCTCATTTATGGTGTGCATTCAGAGCCTGAAACTCTAACAGAAGACTACCAAGCAACATCAACTGCTCACACATTTTCAAATGGTAATAAGCTAACCATTTTGAATGCTGTTATCACTCTTGTTGAAAATGTGGACATTTTTCTTATACGAGGCTTTATAAACATCCAGGTCAAGTTGATCTTGCTACTAAGAGCAATCGAATGGGTCCTAATTGTGATGGTCGAGATATGCCAAATCTCTCTTCTGCCTGTTCCACTTCCAGCTCATTTTCCATGAGAGCTTGCTCATCATCTGTATGTGGGCATTAAGATTCAGCATTCCTTCTGCAGCATTGTTGAATGCAATTTCTTTATTTTGGAAGGCATTGCATATCTTTGTTTAAATTGATGGCTAGCCATCTTTAACCTTGCCTTATTCTATAGGATCATGCTGTGAGAAAGTCAACTTTGGATTGCTGGGATGCAAATATGAATGTTTTAAGCTTGCCACCTCTGAGCTTTGGGGAGAGATTTGAGGATGTATATGAAGTAATTCTAATATTGGATGATCGAGAGCAGTTTGCCATTCAGTGGTTAGTAACTTGAAACCAAAGCCTTTTTAGCTCTGCTCGGGACATCAATTTTGCTGCTTGGCATAGGTTTTAATGTTGTCTTTAGATCATTTGTTCTTCCTTAAACAGAAGCTCATGGCTTTTGCTGGTATGGTTTGAAATTTTATTTTAATATCCTTGATTTTTTTTTTGTCAAGCGCACTGTGTTTATGTTCATTTGTGTATTCTCATGTCTTTTAGTGGACTGATTTTTGTATAGATTCATGCTGTCTATATCTTGACTTAAGAAAAAAAAAAAAAAGAGAAAATTTGGCAAATATATCCGCATAATTTATTGGAATGTGAAAGATTTATGAATGGACATATGAAACAATGTTATGTTTGATTTTTCTCACTGCTTTGTGCTTCTCACTTGGAACAGCAGAATCTCAGCACCATCTTTCTTTTGATTAAATGTCAGTAATAAAAAAACATTTTGCCGTTAAAGCTATTTTATCTTTAAAAAAACAATGCATTTGCTCTTCATTAGTCCCTATTCAAGTTCTTATAATTTATAGTAACTCGTTGCCTGCCAACTGTTCCTTCTTTTGGTTCTGGGTGGATTCTCATGTCATGTTGTTTATGGTGGTATTGTTAAACTCCTATTCTCACTGCCTTAGCTTACTGTGCTTACCATGACTCTTTGCGATTTACAGTTCAAGGGGTAGGAAACTTATTGAGTGCATTTGCAAGGAGCATAAAATCAAAATACAGGTGGGCTTCTTTGATCTTTAATATGTTGTTTTCTGAAGTTTCAACAAATAGCAAGGTGTTATAAGCACCAACTGTTCTCGACTATGTGGTATTTGGGCATAATTGATACCTAACTAGTAAACATGTATTTAACTTTTGATCTAACCATATTTTTTCCCTTTAAATTTACTATATAGTGATTGAATGCATTTTGGTTCTTTGTGATTGTCTATTTGTAAATTTTTGCCAAAAAAATGTAAATTCCTGGGTTCAATATTTTGCAATAAGGATCACTTTGTATAAAATCATAGTAAGGTTCATGTAGTAGCACTTTGGCTTGGTAATTTCGATGGATTTGATAAATAGAAACATGATTGATGCTGTCTCCTTTGATTTAATATTTTTTTGATGTTGGCCTTCTTGTTGACAACTTCCTAATATGTCATCATTATTAGAGAAGGATGAAACTGAATTTTGTAGTTTATGTTATTGCCACTGTGTGTGCTGGTTCGTTTCTAGTCCACTACTGATAATGACATACATATTGACTATTCAACAGGTTAGGCGGTTACCAGTTGGAGATGGAATCTGGATAGCTCGCCATAAATATCTGCACAGTGAATATGTTCTTGATTTTATTGTTGAGAGGAAGAAAATTGATGATTTGCGCTCTTCAATAAGGGATAACCGTTATAGAGATCAGAAATTGAGGCTTCTTGTATGTCATTTGCTATCTCAGTATTTCACCTATTTATTTATTGTGTGTTAACGCTGTAATTGTTTGTTGATATGATGGTATGATGCTTGCTATTTCCTTTCTTGTAGTCAGAAAGTTTCTTGGTGTAATATGTTAAAGTTTCTTGGTGTAATATGTTATGGACATTGATAATCATAGTTTCATGAAGTTATTTCACTAACCAATCTGATAATTTGACTTTTTCGCCTTTAACATATCTTTATCGCAATGCTTTACACAGAAATAGCAAAATTTCTCCAGTGGTCAATATGGGTTTTGACTTTGTGGTAGAAAGCCACAGCTAGGTTAAGTTGGCGTTGTCTTGTTGAAGTGTTGTGATGTGGACAACAAATGAAGCAAAACTTGTGTCTTTTGCAGACAAGGGTGTATGTGTAATTTCTGGAAAATCTGGAAATTCGTCTAAGTCTAGGTTTTATTTTCTATTTAGTATTTTATTAGTCCTAAGGAGTAATTAGCTTTATTAGGTTTTTCCTCTTCTACATAGACTCAGTATTTTCTTACCTAGGAATCTAAGTTCTTATTAGATTTGGACTTCTATAACTCTACAATACAGAGTATAGTCTTTCAAAATTATGAATGACAGTTTATGAATAAAATTTCAGCAATTTGCTTTCAATTGTGAGACTCAATCCCCCTCTTAGGTGTGACTTTTAAAACCCTAGGTGTGACTCCAAGAAATCTACCCACATTATTTCCTCATAATCCAGCAAGACCCTACTTCAATACAACCATAAACACCCCTAAACAGCCTCCAAAGATCAGATCCAGAGCCACCCCTAAGCTGTCCTATATCATATTGTTAGTCGGTTTTGGAGTTTAGATCTTCTAGATGTTGCATTTTGCTTTTTATCTTTTCATCTATGATTAACTTATTTATTTATAACTAATTAAATTTGTGCTTGAGTAATTACTTTGCAGTTTTAATTGAATAGGGCAACATACTTTCTCCCATGAAGCTTGACGACTTTCATTTCTGTTAAGAATGCTAATAACACAGCTTTTAAGCCTACTTGTATCACAATATTATTTGAGTGCTGACTACTGAATAATTGTAGACTTGTGCTTATAGTTGCTTATGATTTTGTGCATGAAGTATAAAAAAGTAAAAAGTGGAGAAGGAGAGATGCACCAAAGAAGAAAAAAGATTATTGTTAGCTTGGATTTGTATTTCCAAATGTAAATCAATAGTGCATGTGAAAAATGACAAAACATGCTTCTTTGACAATGGGTTTTGGTTCGTTAGATACATGTTATTTAGTAATACAATGTTCGAGAATTACATATCAAGAATTGCCATGAAATTACATGACATCTTATTCTGTGATTATTTCAAACATATGTGGAAATTGCACCTGATAGTTTCTGGCCATTTCCTTTCCTCTGTACTAATTCTGAAAAAAAAAAAAATTTCATGCAAATGGTTTGTTCTTTCCACAAATGATCTCCAAACACATTTAATTTTGGATCTGATAATTTCTGGCCAATTCCCTTACTCCATCCAAAGATTTAGGAAAAATTTCTGTGAATTCGTTTATTCATTTTACAAATTATAACTGTTTCTTCCAAGAATTCCCTGGATAATTTTTTATTTGTTTGTTTTTTCAGTGGATTTTGAGGAGGTTCTTGGTGAATGTTGATGGGTTTAAAATTTCTGCATGTAATTAAGCTCTTTCTGTATTATTAAGTATGAATATTGATAATTTAATATCTGAAAAAGCAAAAAGCCTTCATTTCAAGCACCATTAATGAATGCAAGGAAAATATTCTTATTGTTTATACACTCACTTTTCCCTTTAAGTTTAGGTCACATCTTTTCTCTTGTTCTGTGTTATTTTGTTCATGGAACTGGTTTTTTTCATGAAATTTTGTTGTTGAATTTGCTAATACAGTTTTTCAATCATAGGCATAGAACCGAAGTTAGATTCAATAATAACAATTTCTTTAACACTTCTAAATTGCATATTGTCAGAGATGTGGACTCAAGAAGCTGATATATCTTGTGGAAGGTGATCCAAACTCTTCTGAAGCTGCTGAAAGCATCAAAACAGCGTAAGATTTTCTTTTCTGTAACAATCATTTCTTTTGTTCTATATTAATTTTTTTTTCTTTTGTGTGGCTGTGTGTTTTGTACCCTTTCCTTTTGAATTGAATAATAGTTTCACTCCTTGTAGCAATGACTTTCAATACAGAGTTCTAACCATAGTCAAACCATTTTCAACAATGTTTCTGATGCATTTTATGCCAACATATTTTCTAAATATCAAATGAGTCTATCTATACTCTCAAAGTGCTGTGGATTTCATCTGCCTTCAAACTTCAACTGTTTTTACCTTATCTTTTGCAGCTGTTTTACAACAGAGATTTTAGAGGGCTTTGATGTGCAGAGAACAAATTCCTTACGTGATACTCTGAAGAAATATGCTCATCTTACTCAGTCAATAGCCCAATACTATAGGTTACAGCTGCCTGAGGATCAGTCCACAAGCGCCATGGTTTGTCCTCCTTTTGATGAATTTATCAAAAGGTGCCAAGATCTAGACAAAATGACAGTTAGTGATGTATTTGCTGTTCAGCTCATGCAGGTACTAAATTTTCTTTTAAGAGTTGTACATGGAATCAATAGAGTTCATTTAGTTGAGTTACTTCTATCAAGGAATCCTTGAACACAGCCTATCAATTTATTGGATACAGTTGTTTATTTGAAAGAAAAATGTTAATCTGTAAATTAGTTAGTTTATTTTTTCAAAATTTGGATGAGTGAGTTATGTTGGTTGTATCTTAAAACTATGCATGCAGGTTCCGCAAGTAACTGAGGAAATTGCAATGGCTGTTTTGGAATTGTATCCGACTCTGCTTTCTCTTGCCCGTGCCTATTCTCTTCTTGTAAGTGTTCCATTCCTTGGGACTTTGTGCAAGAAAATATTAAAATAATCTGACTGGCAAAGTTTAGTTTTTGAGTTAAAGAATAAAAGGCATAAATTGTTAGATAACTTCTGGGATTTCATTCTTTCTCTTGATGAAGTTTACTATAACTTTCGGGATTTCATTCTTTCTCTTGATAAAGTTTACTATAAATTTTGGGATTTCATTCTTTCTCTTTATAAAATTTACATTAGGTGAAAAAAATTAAAGTACATTGTCAGAAATCCTCTTGTTAAATTAAATGTTATTTTGGTCTAAAATATGAAATTATGAAGTCTTGCTTGGATCCTTCAAGAACTTGTTGGAAACCCTCTTGTTCTTGATGGAGCAAGGGGACAAACCCCAGGGCTGGTGAACTGCACCTTTTTTGTACTTGCAATTTGATCATATACCGTTTATTATTACTATTTTAATTGTGTTTCTTCGGCATTTGCTATGTCTTATTAGTTACTTATTTGCTGATTTTCACCCTGTGTTACTTTTTTTGAAGGAGGGTGATGTTTCTGCTCAAGAGAACATGCTTAGAAAGCAGAGTAATAACGCTGTCAGTGCAGTTGCCAGTAGGAATATCTTCCGGCTAGTTTGGAGCAATGACCAGTGAGTAAGTCTCTCTTTTTGAGCAAATATACTGTCTCTTGCACCTAAACTTGGAGCTCCATTCTGTAAAATCCATGGTTGTAATTCTCTCATGTTGCATGCTTTCTTTTGTAAAGGTGAACACATCAGCAAGCTCGTGCCACCATTCGAGGATTATGGTGAACAGTCAATAGTTTACTTCGCTGCAGCTGTTATCGTTGTGGAAAAGCCACAGTATGGAAAAGAATCTGAGCTTTTCCAGAATACAAATGTGTTCTCGCTGTCTAATTATAGGATGTTTTTCGTAATTTATCCATAATAATAATACAACTTCAATAAAGAAGTTTTAATGTACAATTAAATTCTTTTTAATAATATCAATATGATTGAAATGTTGGAGGAAATTAAAATGTTTAATTTTAACAATTTAAAGTAAATATTATATAAACAGAAGAAAAATTGATGCTTTTCATCCAAAACCGAGAACTTTCATCTTATGTTAAAAAGCCCAAAAGAAAAAGTATAATGCATTAGGATTTAATCAGGGAAGCTATTATTTATGGACTAAATCGAAAATTAATTCATAGTTTGGAGACTGCCTAAAACTTATTATTAGCTGTTAGGCTTGGCAAAAATCCTCATCACAGTACAACTCGTACACGTATTCTTCGCTTCCAACCCATATCCTACGTGTCATGCCACGTGTATTATGCTGACCCTAACACTAAACCGGCATGGTCATCCATCTAGTATATCCCTACCGCTCTTCACCCAGCAACAGACCCTAATTCTCTTCTGAATGCATCAAAATCATCATTCCGTTTCTCATTCTTGCTGAATCTGTTTTTCTTTTAGACTGATTTCAAGTTTCTTCAGATTCAGCTGTTGGGTTTTCGCATTTTCTCGATTAAATTAGAAGAAAAAATCATTCCACATCCTATAACTTATTATCTCTCTAGCCTCAATAGCTGAAAGGCAATCATTTTCTCACGGATACATGCTCACAGGTGATTTTTTGTTTACTTAGTGAAAAAGACAAGGGCCTTTTTTTTTTTTATAGCTTTTACTCTCTCTGCTTGCTGTTCTGGCAGATTTGGTGTTTGATGAAATGTCAATACTCATATAACCAACGAACTGACGTTCTTTTCCTTGTTGATCAGTGCTTTGAAAGAGCAGCTTTGAGTTTAAAGTTCATTGAGAAGATGCGATGGGAGCATCAAAAGGAGGAACAAGACTCTCTGGAATGCAGAAGCAAGTGCTTAGTATGTACAGAGGGTTTTTGCGAGCTGCTCGATCAAAGTCCCTTGAACATCGGCGGCAGATTGAATCCGTTGTTTCGGCTGAGTTCCGCCGCAACTCAAAACAAGTAGATCGCAAGAATTTCATCTACATCGAGTATTTGCTTCACCGTGGTAAGAAGCAACTCGATCAGCTCAACAGTCCTGATACTGTTGGATTGTCATCTCTGAATGTCACTTCCTCAGAAACTGAAAATCCTAAAATCTGAATTAGATAATTATTATTGTCAATCTATTTTGTTGATAAGACACCTTTAGTTATTTTTTTCAGGTTTGTGTTAAGCAGGTTTACATGTCATTATTTTATAGAGGATAATGCTTAATGTTTAAGATAACATCTTTTTAATCTATGTTAGTTTCTTTCCTGTCTTGTTCTTGTCTGTACATTTCTCTACCCCTAACTTATTTAGCTTTAATGTCGAAATAACGGTATAGGTTTTTCATTTCTGAAGTTCAGTAATGACTCCAGAAGAAAGTTTCTCTTTGCCCCTTTTGCCATAAGCTCATTGGGTGATATTTGCTCATTCCTTCTTTCATTTCAAAGCTGGCTGCCCGAGTAACTAGGTGATTTGTTTTATCCAAATTGCACTTGAGCTTCAGGCTTTCACCTGTATGTTTCTTCACCCACCATACACAAAGCAACCTTTATGTCTTTCAGCCTCCTAGGATACAGTTCCTTTCCTCGGACCCAATCCTGCAACCAAGTTGAAAACAGAGTGGCTGTGTTTTGCTACCTGAAGGTTAAGTTTATTGTCTGTTTCTTGATAAACTACAAGCATGCTATGATGGTCAAAAGGTTCTAGCATTCGCTGATTTGCCTATAGCATCCATACTAGTTGAAAATTTTGAGGAAGATTTATTGGCAAGGATGAGTTTGAAGGTTGAATAGAGAGCAAAATGGTTGCCAGATCGAGAATGGCTATGGTTTGAGTTATCAAGAAAGAGGTTGGGTCTGAGTGTCTCGTTCATTGGAAAAGGCTAACCAGATAGTTGTTGTAAGCAGCAGGCATTGGAGTTATCCTTTCTGAAAGAGAATCAGCTGACAAAATTTTGATATTCCAGTCACCAGTGGTATGATTTTTCATTAGAATCCTTCACATATCAACACATGCAAACATATATTAGGGTTTCTCATGATATGCCTTTGATTTTCTCTTGTCTTAGACTGATAGGCAACCAAAGGGTTAATTTTTCATCACGGGTTCATCGTCCAGTGATCGATCGGAAAGTACCTGTTTGCATCTCAGAGGGGAAAAAGAACTTATCTACTAGTTTCAGACAGAACACTAGTTCCTGCTGAAGCAAAGTTCACTACATTTCTCTAAACTCACTGTTATTTGGTGTTCTGACTGAAAGTGTAAATAAAATTGAACAAATGCAGATCCAGTGCTTGACCATTGGTATTTTAGGTCAATAATAATTTGTCAATCCTCATCTAAACCACATGTTATACTAAAGGTTGTCATGTGATTGCCATTGGTATGACCCTCAACCTTGCCAACATGCATTGATTTTGCATGAGCAAACTAATCTTTGGCTCATTCTAAATGAAAGTTACATTTTTTATTTTCTTTAATTTGTTTCATGTAACTCTATTCATTTCCAAATTGGCCTAAACAATAATAATCAAGAACACAACTTCAATAAAGCATTTTTAACGCACAATTCAATTCTTTTTATTAATATCACTATTTGAAATATGATTGAAATATTGGAGGCAATTAAAATTTTCAAATTAAATATGATATAAACACAAGCATACAGATGTAGTTAGAACATTGGAGTGCAATTCATTATCTTGGATATAAACTTGGAATGAATTAATTCTGCAATTAATAAGCTATTCAAAAAAGTTATGACTTCAAATTCAATTTGTTTTTCTTAGGTCAATAAGGAAGACGATTGCATGAATTATAAGTGATAAATTTTTTTACCTAAAAACAATTTATAATCAAATAGATAGATTTCGTAAAATCCGAAATGAGTAAAACAAATATCTGTTTATTTCCATTGAAATAATTGGAATCTATAAACCATACATAAAGCCTAATTAAGAAATTAATAGAAGATATACAGAAGGTATACAAATGCAAATGAGATATTCAATGATTCTCCATCCACTCCCACATGTGTTTTTTAGCTTTTTATTTTATATAAATGAAAGTTGCATTTTGATATATTGTTGGTGTTACTCAATATTAATTTCCAAATTGATTTAATGAATAATCATTAAATAACATCTCATTAAAAAAAGTTTTAACATATAATTTTTTTTTCAACATTATCCTTGAAAGGTTGAAGGCAACTAAAAATTACTTGCAATATTATTATAGAGATATTGGGCGCAACTAAAAATTACTGCATGTATAGCAAGTAGCCATAAGTTAATAGTCATTTAATGTTATAATTACAAGTAACTGCACAATATAACACTTGAAAATGAAATTTGATTCGTTATAGCAAAATCAAAATGAGTAAAAATATTTTCCTAATTTCATATAAATATAGTGCCAATTTTAGCAGTAATTTGTTGGCATGTAAATAGTTAATTTGGAAATCTGTTAGCTCACCAAATATTTTTGAAATATTACCGGCATGATCATTGATTGGAGAACAAAAAAGTTTTATTATAATGAAAAAACTTAATTCTACAAATATGCTGGGTATACAGATTTCAACTTGTATTCTATCAATTTTGCCCTTTGGTGATGCGGAAGCTGTCTTGAACTTGTCTAGCATTTGAATCCACAAACTGCAAAAATCAAAGATATGAATTAGATAAAATTGCATAAAAATCACAAACAATCTGCACATAAATAAATTATGAGGTAACTTTACGAATTTGAATCGAAGCCAAATAGTTCTTGAATCTCAAGTTGTAGGAAAAAAAACTATGCTAAAGCATTAAAAGTTCTCAGTGTTTATTCATGAAGCTGCGTAGACTGACCTCTAAGTTTATTTCTTCCCTTGTAGCATGCCCTCTTAGATACCCAAATTCAGAAATCCTCTTCAAACTCCAACTACCAGGCTGTCCACAGGAAAGATACAATATTATAAATTCAGGAATTCGGCTTTTTGTTCTGCTGTCTATTGATTATTTTCCTGAACATTGAATTCAATTTACCAATGTACATGGTGGTTTAACTTACTTCTGAGAACTTGTCCAGACTGAAGCCAGCCATACCAATAACTGCTTGCACTGGGGCACTGTAATTGCTGTGGTCGTATGTGTCGATACCGTTTCGATCTTTTGTAGGCATGGCTAGGCAATTGCTTTCATAAACAGAACATGTTCTTTCGTAATTGTGAACATGGCCGAAGAGAACCATATCAGCCTAGTTCATGGAAAGAAGGTTACTTGTTCAGAGAGCAACCGAGATATATAGGCCTAACTGATATTCAACTAGAAAATCTAGCTAACCTTATACTGCACCAGTAATGGTTCTACAGCCTTAGTAAATTTGTCATCGATGGTAAACAATCCATCAGTGGAGGAATACATCGGTCTGTGCCTGCATTAACTCGTAAACATGTTTCAAAAACTATGTCCCAAATCTATCAGAAGATTGACAAATATATCGTTAACCTTCAGAAATGTAACATATATGTAACGCTGTAGGCACCGTACCCGGTAAAAATTAGCCAAGGAGTTTTTGATCGATCGACGGAAGACATGTCCTTCTTCATCCACTCATACTGCAAGAGTCCTCTATGTCAGTCACAAAAATAGAATAGGAAATTGAAGATCATGGAAAGTTAGGTTTGGCTCGACCTGCTCAGAATTTGCAGTCCAGTCATGCTCGGTTGAAATGACTGTAAAGTGAACAGGTCCTTGTTCTATAGAATACCATGGTTTATCCTTTGCTGGGGTTGGCATTGGAAAATAGGTCTCATAAGCAACTCCACATTCTCCACCTGAGTCAGGAGTTACATACACTGATCCTGAATCAACGTAATCCCTGAATAAATTTATGCACCGATTAGTCCCCAGAAACATACCTTTGACTCTGGAAAAAGAAGGAAACAGAATTCAAATGTTTGGGTGAAAGAGTAACCTCTCGTGGTTTCCGATCGCAGTCATGTAAGACACTTGAGAAGCCGGACGACTTATAAGGTGAAGGAAAAAATCCCATTCAACCAAGAATCCTGTTGCATAACTTATATCACCAATGTGGAAGATGGAGTCTACATTGCCTGATTCTACCTCATCGGTCATGGCTTTAATCACCGAGAGAGATCCCGGCTACATGTTCATGGATTATGTAAATGGGTCAATACATTAATGCCTTGGATTATCTTGTTTTCCTTAACTTAAAAAACAAATTGATAAGCTTAAATTGTGAAGCTTTACAGAACTTTTGAAGGGATTCTCATTTTTCAATTCCTTCGATACAATTCATTATATTCTACCTGAATGTAGTGTTCGGCAGAAGGATCAAGAGGAGCCTTCCCCATATCACCAAATGCAAGAAACTTAAGTTCATCAGATCCTCCAGCAGGTGGCGTTCGAAACTGGATTTTATCACTCCAGCCTACTGAATCACTGTATAAGAAGAACAAATGTCAATTGGCAATAAATCAAAATGAATTTCCATACTGTAAATCTTTTTGAAAATTTCAGTAGTTTGTTACCTTCCATATCTGTACGAGTATGCGGTCGAATGGCTTAATCCTGTCATGACTGCTGAATGGATGAATCCAGGGTCATGCCACCCAAAGTCCTTGGCAGGACTTGGAAGAGCCGAAGCTATGAAATTTCATAAAGTCATCAGAAAATTCAAAGGTTTATAAACCAAAAGGTATCAAAAAGTAGAATAAAGAACTCACTGCACATATCATCTTGCGAAAATGTTGTGACTGTTGATGTCAGTGTTTTCCCATCGGCATATTGTACTCCTTGAGGTTCTTTACTCCCACTAACCCATGTTAATCTCATCTGCACACAAGCCAACGCAAGAAGCTTAGGACATGCAGATGGAAAAAAAAAAAAAAAAAAAAATTTTATAATCCTCAAGTTAGGACAAGATCAGTGCATTGACAAGTCTTACAGCGTCTAAGAGTGTAACGTACCGATGTTGCTGTGGAATCTGTGCTTGAGATATGTCCATGTAACGGCTGGTTTGGATTGGAAAACTTCATGGGGCCAGTCCTTGTTAGAATGCAAGGTGTTTCAAATCCTCCAGCAAAGAACACGAATTCAATATCAGTCCTGATATTGATGACATGAAAAGATATTGTACCGCTGCAAGTTTCCACTTCACAAGCAGTATTGTTGTATTTCTTGCATTCCTTCTTGTTGCACTTTAGATAGTTTGGATCATTTCTCACGTATTGTGCCTGCAATTTCAAAGAGTTTAAACATTTTAATTTGCTTAAATTGTAAAATACCTTCTTGAACTCGAGCAGCAAAAAAAAAAAAAAAAAACGAATCCTAATTTAAAAATTCCTCGATCTTATCCTCTAAACAATATGATTTTTTTGAATCTGTTTCTTTGCTTAGGATTTTATTAAAAAAATTACAGAAAATTCTTTAAAAATCCCCTCTATCTCTATTTTTCACCTATTAGTAAACATGTTTTTCTAAGTTGACAAAAAATATATGAATTCAAAGAATTTTTCCGTCAATTTCTCAACTGAACCCTAACGAGAGAAACCAATTTAAAAATTCATATTGTTTCAGGTCCTTAATCTACTGGACATCACCCAATTAATCTTCATGCAAAATTTTCATCTTCGAAACCATATAAAAAGGAGGAACTATATATTTTTCTTAAAACGGTTTTCTCATAAATTTTGACATGAGGTTTAAATGGAAAATGCGTGTCAGAAGATGGATTCAATTGCGAATAATTTTGGTTTGGGGACTAATATGTTCTTTTCCCAATAATAAAATCAAATGCGTAGTAAAAGAAGTTCATGGGCAGGCCTGGGTTTTGGTTTGTCAAATTTTGGGTTTTTGTTTTGTCAAATTTCGAATGGGCTAGCCTTACATCTTGAAAATATCTCTCAACAAAATGGGTCCGAGACCCGGTCCACGAACAGGTGAGAACTCTACGTTGTACAAAACCTACCCGACCCGGAAGGGCATCAGATAATGAAACTTGTGTTCTTCTAGATTTCATAGACTTCTCAGGAAAAAAATAAAAAAATAAAAGGTCAACTATATATACATGTGTGTGTATGGCTAAGCATAGGTATCTCTGTAATGTTCAATGTGAATACACAAAGCAGCAAAACATGTCGGTCAAATGTTTGAAAAATTTAGTAATGTTTTTTGAAGCTCACATCTTTGTCCATTTGAATGTCACCTTCATGATGAAAAGGAAAGAAAATATAAATATACATACATACATAACAGAAAAAAGAGTAAATTATAAACCGGTCCCTTTCGTTTCTAGAAATTAATTAATTGATCCTTTTTATTTTAAAGAATAATTATTTGATCCTCATATTTTTAAATTTACTTGTAACTTAATCTTTTTTTCTTTTTTTTTAATTTAATTTATTTTTCATTTTAAAAATAGAAAAATAAAAAATAAAAAAGTTGATGAGAAAAAAGACATTTTATAAAATAAAAATAATATTAAATTAAACATGATCATCACCGGTTAAAGAATTAAATAATAATTTTATTTTAAAAAAAGACTAATTAATTCCTTTCTTAAAACTAGAGGGATGAATTTATAATTTACTCCAAAAAAAAAAAAAAAGACAGAAAATTAATACTAGAATATATAATTTGCCAACTCATAAGGACTTCTTGTTTGATGCAACCTATGTACTTGTTTTATAGTGAAGGTAAATTTATACTGCTCATATAATTAAGAAATAAATTGAAGAATACATAAATAATTTATGGAGTTGTTTTCTAGCAAAAAGCAATAAATAACCCCCTCCTTTTTATTAATTTATTTGATGATAAGAGATATGTTCAAACTATCCTGTGCATCGTCTCATATTGGTTTATTATACGTATTTAGAAAAATAAATTTTTTTGAACACTGATTTTAAAATAAAGATTCGGAAAATCAGCCTAATATATGTATTTTGGAGAAGAAATTCTCTTGAATGTTGATTCTAAGATTAGGACTCAACAAATCAAGAAATCGAACAAAATTTTTTGCCCATTAATCCTACGTACCTTCAGAAAAAAATTATAGGAAAAACCTTGTGCACAGAGTTGTGAATGCATTTATATATCAAAATAAATAAACAGTTGACGAATTATAGAATGGTACCAAAAATCATAAATTTGGTTAGGCAACACCGTATTTGTTATGTCACTATCCCACAAAGAGGTCCACTCTATTACGTAGTGGTTTTGGAGTTTCTTGACGTGACATTATTAGTTCTTGTTTTCTGCTTAGGAACTAGGATCACACGTATCCCATATTTTTCTATTCTAAAAATAATATTTAAAAAATAAGACAAATGTCACATATTTTTCTCAGTCGACCTTATCTATGTATTATCATTTTAATTATATATGGATAATACTCAATTAATCTTCAAGAAATTCCCTCGTACTAGAAGAATATTGACTGCTTTCAGGTTAATTGGCGAAATGAATATCAAAATATTAATGTTCATCCATTCTTGCTTGAATTCCAACTTCATTTTAAAGAAATAATATCATAGATAGGTAATCATAGTCAAAGAGTAATTATCAAAAAAAAAATCAGGCTGAATTTTCTACTGAAGTACTCATCTTCAAGTTTCGTGATAAGCGATTTTGTTTCCTAATTTTATGTTTTCCTTGATTATGATAAAAATAGTAATATATATATATAATTGGGTTAGTTCAACGTTTAGGATGATTTTCCAAATTCATCTAATAATTTGTCCAGATAAAATTCTAAGTAAGATAATAGTAATTGCTCATCTAATGGGAAAAAAACCTAAGATTAGCAGTACATTCTAGGGTTATTTCTCTTTTTTTACCAATGAAAGTTATAAAACTTTGTAATTTGTAGTTATGGTGTGGATTCTCCATGATTTATTTCTCATTCTTCATACATTAATTCATCAAACATAAACTACATAAACTGATAAACTCAATAATAATGGGGTCGATAAATTCAACAAATCAAAGAAAGAAAATCATTAAAAAAAAAAAAAAAAAAGAGTAGGCTGATTTTAGAATCAAAGTATGGTACAATTACCTTAACAGGATAATGACAAAGGAGAGGGAGTTTACTAAGATCTCCAGTTTGCACATACTGAACTTTCTTGAAAGGACAACTTTTGACACTGAAGCATATATTAAGAGACAATTAAACATCCAAAACAATGCATATATATATAAAAGATAGATAGATAGATATCAATGCATAATATATGTATGTATACAAACTCTTACTTAGAATCAGAAGGTGATATCATGGCAATCCAGTGATCATCCGAAGGGAGCAAAACTCCACTCACAGTAACGTTGACGTATTCCTCGTCCGATAAGGGGTTGTTTCTTGAGCTCACGTTGATTTGGAGGTAAGGGTTGGAGTCAGGACAGTGAATTAAACTTCTTCTATTTACTACTCGAAAACTCGATATTCCTGTATAATTTTGGTGCTCGATAGTTGATCCGATGATTGATGGGGGCAACAAATATGAAGAAGAAAAGGGAACGAAGGCTAGTAAAAGGAACAAAAAATTTAGAACCGAAGAAGAAGAAGATGAAGAAGTTGTTGAGGGTTTCATGGTGAAAGTTTGTGGTTTCTAAGGAAAGAAATCTAAGTTGTGGTGTTCTTTTGTAAGATTGTTGGTCTGTGTTTTATACTTGGTGTGTCATTCGAATCCTTTGTAGTGGTGGGATTTTGATGGCAAGTACGATGGGAATTGTGAGCTGTTTCTTAACAGTTATAAGGTTTAGTAACTAACAAGAGCTAACCCACTACCTAGGATTTGACTGTGAGTATGGGTTAATTTCTGTATTTATAAAGGCGGACATAGGAATACTTACATGTACACGAATATTACATGGGAGATGTTTGGTTCCTTTACGAAATGTTGTTAGATAGCTTGATGGGAAACATGAGAAAGGATAGAAGGAAGAATATGAGAGCATTCCAATTTGCATAGACATGGCTGATGGTCACTGTTTTGTTTTCTTTAGCTTATGATGCATGGAGAGGTTGTTTTGCCAATCTTAATTTGGTTGGAATTTTTGGGGGTTTTAGTTAATGAGAGTCTTTGGGTACTAGTTAGTTCGTGATGATTAAATGTTATATTCCCACACTATCCCACAGATATTTTCTTCTTTTATTTTTATGGATTAAAAAAGTTATTAATTGTTTTTTGATATCAATATTTTTTGTTTTTAGAATTATAAGTCATCAAATTTAATCATTCATGACATGAAGTCAATATAATTAGGATATTTTAGTAAATTAATCACTTAAAATTTTGACTGAACAAATATTTTGAAACATATATAAATAGAAAAGACTTTATCCTAAATAAATTATTTTCTTTCATTTTTTACACATATTAAAAAAATTATATATATATATATATATATATTGTTAATCATCAAATTTAATTCTACATGGCATAAAATCAATATTAATTAGAGAATTTTTTTTAAAAAAATACAAGATTTAAAGTGTTCATCGAACTAGTATTTTGCGATGCATATATAAATACAAAAACAGAAAATGTTTTTATACCAGAAAAAATAATAATGCAATAATTTTGAAATTTCAAACTTTTCATCTAATCACATATAAATCGGATGATTTGTATACAATGCTAGTCGATGATTATTGGATCAAAAATTAATAGAGGCCCATATAGAAGTAATTAAATATTTTTACAAAATATTTATTCCTTACTAAATGATACGACGTTTGTTATATCGAAAGTTCTTAAAATCAATGAAATGAATCTTATTCACATTTGCTACATGGAAAGTAAAATCCTAGTTTTTGTCATTTTTTGGGTATGGGTATGATGGTTAATCTTTGACTTCTATAAAGGTCCAATAACTTAATTTCATTTCTTAATTAATTAAAATAACTTACAGATTTTCATGATAAAAAATAACACATAAATTTTATTTCTTAATCAAAATAGTAACGATTTTAACAATTAAGTTCGGTCCAAGTTCATTCTGGCAAAAAACCAAGTACCTAATTCCATCATCAATTGATTCTTGCCAAATTTTTTAGATTATTTTTTTCTTAAATTCTAATTATTTTATTATACTTACTAGAATTATATATATAATAGGTTTTAAATCGTTGGCAGAAAAAAAAAAAACACACACACACACACACACAAATAATTGCATATCTGTTACTCAAATAAACACCTTAATTGGGAAAATTAGAATGCTTCAAAATATAAGTCCAAATATTCATTGAGAGGTTTATGAATTTTGGACTACACAATAAGAATAATCTTTTTTTGTTATAATATAATCATGAAATAAAATAGAATTATTAGGATTTGAACCTGTTTTAGGAAAGGAAATTGTTGAATATAAAACTATTAGGTTATATCTATTTATGAATGATTATGTTTTTTTTTTTTTTAACTTATTTATGGCTATGGGTGTAAAAGATTAGGCATGGAATCTATATATCCTTAAACTTAATTTAGGTCCAACCAAAACATTGCTAGTTTAACTAATATATATATTCCATGTGAACACAATCACGTTGAGCAAGAATGGGAACACCCGCTGAAGGAGTCAAAATATACCGTACGCACCATGCCCAGCCAATTTAAATTAAATTAAATGTCAAAGAATTGCCAAAAATCTGGTCATTCTCTAATAAGGTTGAAAGCATATGACTTTCCAAATTATCTCTTTGCATATGTTCCACCTTAATTTTCGGTTAGTTTAGTCTAATCGATAAATTAATTTGTCTGTCGCTTTATTAATTAGAAACCTTTTATTTTATATAAAATATTTTCATTTTTTTGAAAACTAGAAGTTGTTTTTTCGTATTTTAAACTTGTTTTTCTTTGATCGAAAAATATTTTCATTAACCAAGTTTTTTTTACAGTGAACTAAACATGACAAAATGAGAAAAATATTTAAGAAACTGAAACAAAGTAATATAGCCTACAAAGGAGAGAGCAAAAACACAATTTCTTATAAATTTTTGTTTGTTAGGTAAAAAATAAGTTCTAGGAACTTGTTTTCTCTATTTTTTTCTTATTTTTTAATATATTGTTTTGTGTTTAGGAAAAAAATTCAATGAAAATTAATAAACTATTTTTGGAAAAGTGACTTCCGAATTAAATGAGAAAATTTTTATTTTTCTTTTTCTTATAAGTTGTCTCGCTCTCGTGTTACTCACCTCTCTCTCGATATATTTTAATAATTTTTTCCTTTATCTCATTTTTTATTTAAAATATATCAAATTAATTTTTAATTATTTCTTATCAATAATTATTAATTATTTAATTATTTTTTCTGTTTCGTTAACATTTGTTTTTTCGATTTATAAATATGTTAAATATTATTAAAAATATAAATTAAATATTCTCAAAAACTATTATTATACCTTAAAATTATTTTTATAATAAATATTTTAATAATTTATCTTTATTTTTCATGTAATTTTCAAACATCAAAAAATATTTTTTTCAAAATTACTTTTCTCATTAGAAATTGTTTTCCGACAAACGAAGCCTAAATGCATGAATCTGAATGTCATTAAAGCCTGGAGGTGTGAACGTATGGTAGGCTTAGTTCAGTTTTGCATAGCTACCGACCAGCCGTCTATCGTTTTCTTTGGGACATTGACGGGTATATACGGCCGGCTTAGCCCATCGTTGATATCTGGGCTAAGCCTCCACCATGCGGACTTCCTTGTCCTTGATTCGGCAGGGAATTATTTAGAGGTTGACAGGTCGACTAGATGGCTGGCTGGAAAGTGCAGCGATAACTTAGGATGATAATGTACTGGATATCCACCAAATTAATTCAATCTCTTACTATATTCATTAAAAAATAATATTATAATTATGTCCAATAAGAAATTACATTTTAAAATCATATCCGGTCCATTTTTGATTTATCTATTCATTTAATAAGTGCTATAAAATAATTTGTCAAAACATTTTATTTAGTCCTTATAAATTTTAAAAACTTATGTTGGTCCTTAAATTATTTTTTTACATTCTGATCCTTTTATTTATAATTTTTTGATCCTCAACGTTTTTATAAAAATGTTTTAGTTCTTAATTTATAAATTTTATGCAATCAGATCTCTTTATGTTATTTTTTTTAAAAAAACAACATTAGTGGCTATTAGTAAGATATAAAATAAATAGCTATATCCAAAAACTATATTAGTAAATAGAGAATTTTTTTTTTTTATCTTTATCCTTTCCAATATATGTTAATCATTTTTAATGAATATTTATTAGATAGGATATAACGAGTATCATTTCATATTCCATTCATTATAATCATTAACAATAAATTAAATCGATCTCTGCTTCCTTCCTTTTAGAAATAGAATGAATCTTGATTTCTAATGTTGTTGACACAGTATTTGATTGTGAACTCATTGATTTGAGCCTCGTAGGAAACTAATTTACTTTATAAATTGGATTGATACGAGAAGAACATAGAGGTTGGGTACGTAGAGGTTTTAGCACAACTTTTTGGAAAGATGTCTTCATGATCAAAGTTCACTTGAGAGCATATTCAAATTTTCATCAGGCTAGCATTTTTAAAGTGCAGGATCAATCATAAATGTAACAACATTTTCACATTCATTCCCATATTTCCACATACAACTTAGAGAAAATTTCAAATATTCTCGACATTATTGTTACTTCGTTAATCATTCATATCTTTTCAGATTTTTAATTGAGCAATCTAAGAATAGTGTGGACTAAATAATATTCAATAGAGGTCGCTATTCCCTATCATGCAATTGATGGTTTTAGTTTTTAATGAAAGAATTTGATGTTAAAAACGTAGCAATCTAAGAATATTGTGGTTATTTGCAGGATTTTCGCCTAGACACCATAGCTAGTCCTTTGCCGGAAATAGAGCCCACAAGAATGAGGTTGTCCAACCAGGCTAAGGCCCATGATCATTTAGGAAAGCCCATTAGTGGGTTGTCCACGAGCCATAAGGGATGAAAATTGGATAGCTGGGTATCGAATCTTAGTCAGACTGCTCTTAACTTGAAAGTGTATGTTTGCTGATAAAGTTAGAAGCTCTTTTTAAAAAGAGTAGAAATGTGCGAATACCTCTTGAATTATTGCTCAAAATACAAATATCATTATCGTACAGATAATTCTTAAGAAAAACTAACGAAAAAAATTAATCTTTTTATTAAGTTAGATTATGTTTTTGTTATAAAATTGAAATTAATATTTTGTCACATCGTGATACTAAATAACCTAAACACATATGATAATTTGAATGAAACCTAGCATAACTTAATAAAAAAACTAATTTTTACTTTTAATTTTTTTCAAGGACTATGTGCATTGAATAAGATAGATAAAGATTATATGCGTTTTGACTGTTAGTTAAAGAGGTTTGTCACATTTTGCCCTTTTGAAAATTTTTTTTGGTCTAAAATCTCACAAAACTAGTGTTCTTTGCGATGCTCTTTGATGGTTTTGATACCCTCTTATCAAAACCATCCAAAAAGGTGCCTCAGGTAAAACTTAGGGTAATGGCTAAGAGAATAAAGAACCTTTCCAAAATTTTGAGCTTGTATATAATGACAGGTTAAAGGAAGAATAGGATTTATGAATTGAACTCAAATCCCAGTAGCTTAAAGATCAATATTGAGTCACATAATAGATCCCTGTCATTTAAAAATGTTTTGACTCGTTCATTGATGTTAATGATGTCCGAAAAGTTTGGTGCCTATCTGATTTGCCAAGCAAGAAAAAGTGAAGAAGGAAGAACAGGAACGAAATAAAGAGAAACCTGCATTATCACCTGTAACAAGTTTGGGATATAATGAAGTGATTCCAACCAAACCCACTTTTCGAAAGATAGAATTGCTTGGAAAAATGAAAAGACAAGCTTCTTGGATCACTCCAACAATTTTCCAAGTTGACCAAGGATTCCAAAGCATAACGAAGTTAGATTAAAAGAACAGGGAAACAGTTTTTTATGTTCTTTACCCAAAATCTTCCTCTGTAACCAAATTCAGAAAAAAAAAAAAAACTTCTTCTTCTTCTTATTCTGTTTTGTTCACTCTTCCTTCATTAATTTGCAAAAACGAGAAACAATGGCTGAGGCATTAGTAGGAGGAGCATTTCTTTCTGCTTCCCTGCAGCTTTTGTTCGACAGGATGGCTTCTCGCCAGGTTGTGGACTTCTTCAGAGGCCAAAAACACAATGATAGGCTGCTGAAGAAGTTGAACAGAAGAATGATATCTGTCAGTGCACTGCTTGACGATGCTGAGGATAAGCAGATAACGAATCCAGTTGTGCAAAAGTGGCTCGAACAGCTTAAAGATGCTGTCTATGAAGCGGATGACTTCTTGGATGAGATTTCTTATGAAGGTCTGCGATTGGAGTTGAAAGCTGAAGATCAAACCTTCACAGGTCAGGTGCAGGACTTTCTTTCTTTTCTTAACCCATGTAAAATGGGGTTAGGAGAGATCAAGGAAAAACTAGAAGAGCTGCTGGAGGATCTAGATGATTTAGTAAACCCAAAGGATGTACTTGGTTTGATCAACCGCATTGGAGAAAATCCATCATCGCATAAAACACCAACAACTTCTCGTAGATAAGTCTGGGGTTTATGTTAGAGATGATGATAAGGAAGCAATAATGAAGTTGCTTCTATCAGATGATGCAAATGGAAAAAATCCTGGTGTCATTCCCATAGTGGGTATGGGTGTGGTTGGTAAAACCACACTTGCTCAGCTTGTATACAATCACGGCAGTGTAAAAGAGTGGTTCGATCTCAAAGTTTGGATTTGCATTTCAGAAGATTTTGATGTTATCAAGTTAACGAATGACATCCTTAAGGGGTTCCATCCAGGGAATTTTGATGCTGAGACTCTGAATCAGCTTCAAGTTAAGCTGAAGGAGAGGTTGAGCGGAAAGAGATTTCTGCTTGTTTTAGATGATGTTTGGAGTTATAAGTACACTGATTGGGAAAGTTTGCTTACCCCCTTGAAGTATGGAGCACAAGGGAGTAAGATTCTTGTAACAACACGCAATGAAATCGTAGCTTCAGTCATGAAAACTTTTCCAACTCATCATCTAGAAGAATTGCCTGAAGAGAGTTGTTAGTTCGTGTTTTCCAGACATGTATTTGGTGATGAAAATGCCAATACGCATCAGGAGTTACAGGCAATTGGTAGAGAAATAGTGAGAAAGTGTAAAGGCCTGCCTCTGGCTGCAAAAACACTCGGAGGTCTGCTACGATCCAAAAGAGATGCTGACGAGTGGAAGAAGATATTGGAAAGCAAGATATGGGATTTACCCAATGACAACATTCTCCCAGCTTTGAGATTAAGTTATCATTGTCTCCCGTCACATCTGAAGCAATGCTTTGCTTACTGTGCGATATTTCCAAAAGATTATACATTTCAGAAGGATGAATTAGTACTCCTGTGGATGGCAGAGGGCTACTTGGTCCACTCTCTAAATAATGAGATGGAGGAAGCAGACGAGGAGTACTTCAACGATCTTGTATCAAGGTCATTTTTTCAGCAATCAAGTGCATCTCCAACATCATTCGTGATGCATGATCTCATAAATGACTTGGCTATGTACGTGTCTCGATAAATTTTGCTTCAGATTGGAATTGGAGGGTGACAATGCATGCAAACTTGCTCCAGGTACTCGTTATCTATCATATGCACCAAAGAAATATGCTTCACCCACTGAGGTCTCTCAAACATTGAAGAGAATCCATGCAGCCTCACATCTGCATACATTCTTACTATGGTTGCATAGACATACATTTGAAAGTGATGAAATGGTAATACAATATGTATTCTCGACACTTAGGCGCCTACAAGTGCTACATTTGCCTCTGTTTTATGATGTAAACAAGTTGCCTAATTCAATTGGCAAGTTAAAGCATTTAAGTTATTTGAATCTCTCTGGTGCATTAATTAAGAAGCTGCCTGAAGTTGTGGGTACTTTGCACAATTTGCAAACGTTGATCTTGAAAGATTGCCGCCGACTTGCTAGGTTACCTTCATCTATGGGAAGATTAATCAACTTGCGGTATCTAGACATTGAAAACACATCTTTGCAAGAGATGCCACCACAAATGGGTAAACTGACAAAGCTCCGAAGGTTAAGTGATTTTTTTGTGGGAAAACATAGTGGGTGGGGCATTAAAGAATTGGGAAAACTAAATCTGCGAGGAGAACTTCATATTTGGAATCTTCATAATGTTGTGGATGCTCAAGATGTCGCTGAAGCAAATTTGAAGGTTAAAAAACACCTCAAGAAGTTGGAGTTGACATGGGATGGTGAAACTGATCGATCACAGCAAGCAGAAGGCATGCTTGAGAAATTGAAGCCACAAACAGATGTGAGAAGTCTCTGCATTGATGGTTATGGAGGTAGATCGCATCCAGATTGGGTAGGAGAATCATCTTTCTCAGACGTGGTATCCTTAGAGCTCAGAAGGTGTAAACACTGCATCTCCTTACCACCACTTGGGCAATTAGCAGCTTTAAGGGATCTCACAATTGTAGATTTTCCTGAAGCTGTGACTGTGGGCTCTGAGTTCTTTGGCAACTGCACAGGGACGAAGAAGCCATTTGAATCCCTCAAAACTTTATGGTTTCGACGGATGAAACAGTGGCGTGAATGGATTTTAGATGAAGGCAGGGAGATTTTCCCTCTTCTTCAGGAGCTGTATATAAGTGCCTGCAATAACCTGACAAAGGCGCTGCCTCAATACCTTCCTTATTTAACGACACTTGAGATTGTTGGATGTCAGCAGCTCGTGACTCCATCTCCCAGGTATCCAATAATCAATCGGTTTCTCTTAAAGGATGATTCTTACTTACTGGAGTTGGAGAGATTGCCTTCTGGGTTGCATAGCCTTCGAGCTTATGGAGTCTACTCTCGACATTTAGAAATTGAGCAAATGGGCTGTTCACCTTTAGGAAAAATTGATATCCATAAGTGGTCTTTCCTCAAATGCTTCCCTTCGGAGTTGTTCCCCAAGTTCAAAACTCTGGCTATCGTTGACTGTCCAGATCTCGAATCCTTTTCTGCACATGAAGGAGTTCATGATGATCTCACTTCTCTCGATTCCTTGCTGATACAGTCGATTCCTAAATTAGTTTCATTTCCCCAAGGAGGATTACCGGCCCCAAATTTGACAGTGCTTCAGTTACTGGATTGCATGAATCTGAAGGCATTGCCTGAGCACATGCATTGCCTCCTCCCAGCGCTTGAGAAATTGTCAATCCACAATTGTCCAGAAATTGAGTCATTTCCAGATGGGGGTTTGCCTTCCAAAGTACAATCACTTGAGATTAGTAATTGTAAGAAACTCATTGCAGGCCGCATGCAATGGGATTTACAATCACTCCCTTATCTTTCAGCATTCAAAATTGCAGGCAACAATGATACAGAATCCTTCCCGGAGGAGACATTGCTGCCCTCAAGCCTCAACTCTCTTGAAATTCGTGATTTTGAAAATCTGAAATATCTAGACTACAAGGGGATTCAACACCTCAGCTCTCTTAGAAATCTGGCAATCTTCACATGCTCGAAGCTCAATTCCATGCCAGAAGAGGGACTGCCCTCCTCCCTTTCTTTTCTTATGATCATCCAATGTCCTTTGCTGACGAAAAGGTATGAAATGGATAAAGGCGAAGATTGG